AGGAGCTTCATCACTGCAGGAAGATCACTTCTCAGATACAAACCAGACCACAGATGGATGCTGATTTTAATGGTAGAATCATGGAATTCTAGAACAGCCCAGATTGGAAGGAACCCTGAAAGATCATCTGGTCAAACCTTTCACAAAGAGGGGAGCCTAGACAAACTTACCTAGTGCCTCATCCAGTCACATATTGAAAACTGCTAGTGATGGGGTCCCTACCACATCCCTGGGAGGCTGTGAACTAGACCCTGTCTGGGCAGGACAACCAGAAACTGGAGAACTGGATTAACAGTAAGTGGAGATCTTAGTGCTGTGTTGCTGCAAGACATGGGAGGATGTCAGTCAGAGAACGAGGCCAGGATCTTTCCTTGACAGCAGCACGACAAGGGACAAACCACTGTTTTASTGCTGCAGGACAGCATCCCCTGCCAGTGACAGCAGGGCTGAGACTGCTGTGGGAGGGAGCGGTGACACCCCAGGACATGGCCTGCCTCATTCTGCCCTAGGATAGTGTCCCAGACCCATTCAGCACAGAAAACAAAGACWGCAAGGAGGTGCTTATACATCAAGGAAGTTGCTACCAGGAAACAATCACGATTTAAATTAAAGACAGTGTTGTCACAAAGACAATAGGGTACAAATGGACTTTGACAWATTCCAGGTGGTAAAGAAAGGGTGGCATCTAACCAGGTGAGAAGTGATTTACTAGAAGAGATCCCACAGAAGGAGCAGTGAGAACAAGGGCGCAAAGGCCTCAGGGATGCACTTGGGTTGGGAGGGGCTGCCAGCACCACCCAGAGCCAGGACTCAATGAGGAACATGAGCCCTTCCAGACCACCTGCTTGAGCAACTTCCATTTTGGCATTTCCTAACTTGTGAATTGTCTCTGATCTTCCAGGGCCTTCGAGGAGCATCACACTGTCTTCTGCAGCTTTAACTACTTTATTTCAGTGAAGAAGATCTCATATAGGCCTAATTATGTACTAGTAGGAGGGAAAAAAAAAGAAATAGAAAAGCAAACGATCTGTATTTAACAACTGAGTTCTGACACAAAGAACTTGTCTTGCCCGAGGCTGGTTGGGACAAAGCAAACAGTGTGCTGTTTGACTGCAGCCCAGCTAGTGATGGCAAGCCTTTGTGGAAAATAAACTGCAGTCATCACAGCTCAGGGGATTCTTTCTCTGCCAGAGATAAGAGAAGTTATGAAGGATAAGAAGAAGCATCTCTTGGACAGCTCACTGTAGTATATAGTCTCTCCTTCAGACTGGGGAAAGATCAAGATGAAGAGGTAGTGCCTTTCCAACAAATGTTTTATGGCGGAAGAATTTAGATCGTAAAGGATTTGTTCCTTAAGTGATACATAATTTATTAAATCTTTTCAGTCCTGTGAAATAAAGAGCAAACACAAATCTTCACACCCAAGCAAACATACAAATAGGCTCTTATGCAACTCCACCCCTGTGGCTGCTTTTTGCCAGTTTCCTCAATGGCTTAATTTAAACAAAATCCCAGGACAGAGGCACTCCAGAATGCCTCAGTGTAACCTCACCCTGAGCTTCCTTTTAAGGTGGCAGGTCCCAGGATTTTCCTTCAAAAGCATATCTGCTAATAGGCATCCTGTGTTGTCTAGGGAAGGTAATGASACCCATCATATTTTCAGATTGGTGTAGGCTGTGATAATAGCTGTGCTGCTCAGACTGTTGATGTTTCTTCTTTTGTAAAAGGAAAAGTATTTRGAATTAGCATGTCATCACACTCCCTTCTTCCCTCCTCTCCCCCCTGCAAAGCTCGCACAAAGAACAAAGCCAAACACAACCTGTGTATAGCACAAAAGTAATATTCAGTCCAATATTTTATAAGTAATTGGTAACTGATCATTTTTATTATATCATTGTTAAACATAATAGTAATACTTTCTTTCTATAAGCATCTGTATAAGAGTTTAAACCCAGATAACAAACACCACAGATTAGTGCTTGTACCTTCCAGATCATCCAAATGGAAAGGCAAGTTCAGAAGTCTTTCTCATTCTAAGAACTGCCACCCTATGYTTTGCTTTTCCTTCCTTTCTCTTCTCCACAGTCTTCCAAGCCTTCTTTGCTGTGGCGTCTCTAGTGGCTGTCATGATGCTTCTTAATCAATAAGTCCAGAAGGCCATGGGAGTCTTTCAAYATTTATCAGCAAGATCTGGAGTCCTGCCTCTAAGAATGGTGGGGGGRCTACTCTTGGTTAAGGCCCATGTGCTGAATGGATACCATAGGAGAAATGCTTCCATCCATTAGGAGACTTGGAAATTCTCATAAAACAACAGGCAGAATCGTTTTCCTCCCTTTACTTCAGCTTTTGACTCCATAGAGGACATCTACTGATTCATGTGATCATTCACTGCGCAAAAAGGCATGCAGGAAAATTTAATACAGTTCTGCYTTTAAATGCAAATACCAGATGCTACAGAGCCTCAGCCATATAGATTTTTTTTAATGAGAAGACTCCCTTTGTCCTTGTCACAAATGAAAAATAAATTATGTATGCAATTTTAAAAGATCTCACCACTCCACACTTGGAATATGATATTAAAATGCAGCCTGAAATTATGTTTCAAATGTTAAGCTAACAATATTAACCTAAAAAGCTATAGAGGTGGAGGTGGCCCACAAAATCTGTCTCTGTCCCAGCCCATTCCATCCTTAATCCTGGGAAATGAGCACTGGAGCAGCTTGGTCTGCAGGAAGGCATTTGGAACACAAAGGTAGATTTTTTTTGTGCACCAATAGCAGCAGAACAGTGTCTCTGTCTGGAAGTGGGGTTGCTGTTGGAGGCAGCCGAAAAAAATAATCACCAAGCGCTTTGGGTAATATTCAGGGCTTCTGTCAACACCACCCAAATTACCAGAGCACTTACCATAGAGGCAAATCTTGAGAAATCACGTCAAATGTTTAGCAACTGGTGATCTCATAGTTTTTCTTATTTGAGCAGTGCAGGATGAAAGCCTCCTACAAAGYGTGAGCAGACAAGTGACATGTCCCAGCCTGTTTCCTTCAATGGCTAAAAGAAGTTATGGCAGCCATTTAAATAGAATCTCCCTCTGTCAGTGCAATTATCTCTGAGAACAGCACAGGGTGTTACAGGCAGCCTTCGCAGGTAGGAGATGTATTTGAGGTCCTATGCAGTACCTTGGATTTGGGAAGCAGTTTGATCTTGGAACATCTCATCACACCCACTTGAAGGACACCWCTCACCCTGGATGTCCAATTTTCGAGGGAGGGCAGTTGGTTTTGCACGGGTTAGCCCATACAGCAGATGACAGACACTTAAAGAAGGAAAATCTGAGTGTGTTTCTTTACAGAACCTTGTCCTCCAAGCCCTTTTAAGCTTCCTTTTCTGTCAGCCAACAAGCCCCCCTGTGCTGAGGCAGGGGTTGCATAGAACAGTTATGTGACCAGATTCATTAGGAAATAAACCAGGAGCACCTGATGTCACCCCACAAAACACGCAGTACAGGATTRTCAGGTTCAATCCCCACGCCAAAGCCCGTGGTAATGCAATGCTGGTTAACATCTGCATAGTCCACTCCTCCCCTTCCCCAGATGCTCATGTGTAAATCTAGCCTTAGGACCTATGAACTAGAGAACATTTCAATTTCATTTATCCCTGTTGTCTTGTGAAAACACTTCTGTTGGGCCACTCACTCACTCTCCCCTGCTACAGCTGGGTAGAGGAGGAAAAAGAATTTAACAAAGGGGTCGTGAGTTGAGATAAGGACCAGAAGAAAACACTCCAAGGGCAAAATAGGCTCAGCTTAGAGTTACAAAATGAAGTTATTACCAACAGAATCAGAGGAGGATAATGAGAAGTAAAATAAGCCCTTAAAATACTGTTCTTCCCCCCAACCCCTCCCTCCTTCCCACTGACAGCTCAGGGGGACAGGGTGTGGGGGATTTGGTCAGTTCATCACAGAGATCTTTTTCCACTGCTCAGAGAGAGGACTTCTTCCTCTGATGCACCATGGGGTCTCTCCCATGGGAGACAGTTCTCCATGAACTTTTCCAGTGTGGTTCCAATCTCGTGAGCAGCAGTCCTCCCAAAACTGCTGCAACATGAGTTCCCCCCACGGGCAGACAGTCCTCCCAAAACTGCTGCAGCATGGGTCACTCTTCCACGGGTGCAGCTCTCCACGGACARATGGCTCCCAGCCTGGAATCAAGGGCCSCCWYCCTCCACTGAGTTTCCCACCAGATCACAGCCTCCTCCAGGCACCCCCCTGCTCCAGCATGGGGCACCTCTCCCACAGGCTGTGGGTGGATTTCTGCATCCYCCATGGACTCCCATGGGCTGCAGGGGTGCAGAGGAATCTCCTGGAGYACCTCCTCCCCCTCCTTCTCCACTGACCTTGGTGTCTCCATGTTGTTTCCCTCACAGGATCTCACCTCCTCCTCTTCTCTGAATAGGAAAAAAAATTGTGTGTCTTTGTTTTGAATTTCTTCTTAAATCTGTYATCACAGAGGTGTAACCAACATCTCTAATTGGCCCAGGYTTGGACAGCAGTGTATCCATCATCTTCAGAATCATCAGGGATCGGCTCTGCTGGACATGGTGRAAACTTCCAGCAGCTTCTCACAGCAGCCATCTCTGTGCACCCCGCTGCTACCCAAAACCAGGCCAAGCAAAACTAACACAGATCTTTACAAATGCACTCTGTGAGAAACTGAATGAGGCAAGGAGTCAAAAGGAAATTTGTCTTTCTACCCCTGACAAAGTTCTGCTAAGAACTGAAATAAGMTAGGAGGGTCACTTTCAGAATTTTTTCTTCACAAATGCAAAGACTGGATGGGATTTTTTTAAAGAATGTTTTTATTTCAGTGTGAGAAATGTCCCATTAGATTTTATTTCATATTCTAGTGATTCAAAAATCCCTAGTGAAATGTCATATATTTTCAGACAGGTTTGGTAAATAATTTGGAACCAAATCTTTTAAAGCCTTCTTTCTCTCTCCCCAGGAGCATAGCCAGCACTGTGAGATGCCTTGGAAGAAAGGAGTGGTGTAGAGTAAGTTACAACTTTATGACTGTGCAAAAATGAAAAAACAACTCAAACAATTATTCTTATACCTAATACTTATGTATGAGTTCACAGAAACAATTTGAAAATTTTCTGCTGGCTGTAAAATCCCTTGCCAGCCTCATTTAAGCTCAGCCTGTGAAAGAAATGGWTACTAGTCACTTTTATTACTTGCAGTGCAGAGACAGAGTATTTTAGAGCCYGTCAAATAAGTTGGGTCAGACCTTCTGTAGTCACTCTGACATACCTGTGGTCACAGAGGGCTCTCTGCAGTCATTGCTCAACTGGTGCTGCCCCAGGGAGCTCTTACATCAGGTACAGCCTSCATGAGCTGCGGACGTGCCAGCCTCCTGCACTGCCTCCAGCTTCCCACCGTGTCCCTGGTGGAGGTGCTGGAGGAGGGGGCCAAGCTGCTGTGAGCTTTGCTGGCCAGCCAGGCTGGTATTTCAGCCCTKCCTGGGCCTGGGCCTGGGCCCCAGCCTCCTCATGCTCTTCTGAAGTCTCTTTGGAGCCCTTTGGTCCAGCCTCATCCATCCCTGTCCCCTTGCTGCTTTAGTACTACATTCATGAAAGTAGTGTCTTTGAATGGGTCTAGCCATGCTGGAAAATGAACATTTTTAGGGAAACAACAGTGTAGAAACCAATGGCTGTAATGTGTTTCTCTGCACTGGGAAAGGGAGGAGGAGCTGGCTGCTGGCAGCAGGTTGTGTTAGCACAACACTTCAGGATGACTAAATCGCTCAAGGTAAAAAGGTGGTGAAATTTGATTTGAGCAGCTGTCAACTGTGAGAATGTACTTATCACAGACTGCTCCCACTAACATGGAAAGAGACTGCATCCAAGCTCTCAGCAGCACCCAGTGCAGCTGTCGCTCTGTCCCGCTTTCAAAGACTCCATGAGATGGGAGTGACAAGGATGTGATGCTCCAGCCACCCTTTCCCCTGGCTGAGCTCAAACCAGAGGCAACTGGAAGAAGTCTGCAGCTAATTTCCATGRAGCAACACAAGTCATGAAATCCACTTCATGAGACATTACAAAAAGCACCTCTCAGCTTTTTCCCACAACTACCAAGGTTTTATTCTCTGTTCATGGATAACTCTGCCTGTATGATCCTCACCCTTCAAAGTGGTGCCCATCAGTGTCATAGTTGCACCGCAGCAGCTCCCAGCCCAGCTGAGCTCCCCTAAAGATGCCACAAGGAGTGTTTGGTATGGAAGTGGAATTCCCCCAGAACTTTAAGGGGAGGCCACTTCTTGCAGTCGAAAGAGAAGACCCAGAGTGTCTAAATCTATAATCCCAGTGACTGGAACTTCAGCCTGCAGCAAGCTGAGCAGACTTGCTTTTAGTTTTCTCTTGAATAGCAGCATCGAAGGTTACAGCTCTTGTGGTGCTGGTGCCATCTAGTCATAAATTTAAATCAGAGTTTGACTCTGCATCTTCCCTCGTGGATTTTATGTCTTAGGCTACTCTTTCCCAGAAGTTGAGGGATGAGCAGTTACATGTCTGAACTTGCAGTCATAATTCTGYGGCCAGTTATCAGACATGATACATCAAGTATTTGCATCTGATTAAAAATGACTGTGTACACATGCCTCCTCTTTAGCTGCAGTATTCCTCAGTCATGTTGAATGTGTGAACTCATGAATGATGCTCATGTGAATAATCATCTAAAACAACCAGAGGTTTTTTTTCCCAGCTGGCTCACCCAGATCTGCCTCTGCCTTTGTTCGAGAAGGATCTTTTTCTGTTCTTCCCGGTGTTTGCTCTGTCACTTAGCTTTGCCTTTTATTTTAGGTATAGGCTGCAAGTGTCACTGCTTTCTCCAGTGTTCCTGGCATTTATCTCAGAATCTTCAGTTCTTTCAAATGCCCTTATTTCCTTGGTTTCATACACTCCTACCTGGTCTTCGTGGTCTGGAGCATACTGAGTTTCCAGGTTTAATTGAGTTTGAAAAGCACTAACACAGTTCTGGCCATTGGTGCCCATCCATGTGATCAGGACACTGGAAGCTCCTGCACCCACCAATCTCTTCAACATCTGATTTCCAAATAATGCATCAGTTGTTAGCAACATCCTGGGAGGGCTGGTGTGTGTTTGAAAAGCTTCTCTTGGGAAGGAGACAGCATTTGCACTTGCAGCCAAATAACTCAGCCTCCCAAAAATGAAAATATGTTACTTTTTTCACCTCTGGACTGTGATGGAGTTGAGGAGGACAACTGTGGGTGCAGAACACTACAAGAAATTGGATAAGTGTCAGCCACCCAAGGGCTGTGGGGTTCATCCCCACCCCTGCTCTTGTGAGCACAGACTGATACACCACAGACCATGGCATATGGTCAGATTGATCACTGGTATTTGCGTATAGAGATGCACAAAGCCTGCCAGAATTTCAACTCTTCAGACGTATTTTCCACACCACTACTGAAACCACTTCTAATAGCGAAGTGTGAGGCCTCTGCAGGTTCTTGTAACATCCCAGTGATCTCTGGGAGAAGGCTGGCAGACGCTGCCTGTGTTTGGGGCACACCGGCCCCCTCATCCTGCACAGCACAGCCCTTGCTCAGAGCCACAGCATCTGGTGTCCTAGGAAGCACCTCAGCAGCACGTAATGTGTTAGCACTTCTTGAGAAATATTTTTGCATTGCTTCATRCCCCAAATGATTGCCTAAGCCCCCTTCCCTCCACTGCTCACATGCATTTCAAATCCTGCCCCATCCAACTTGCCAATTTTCCTCAGGCTCATCATGCAGAGCAGGAGGTTGCGTGCTGCAGCATGGCACCCACTCCCTCACACTCCTGAGGAGACCTCTCCCCTTTCCCAGCTAGCCCTGTAAGTAGTGGCCCTGGCATTTGGGCCATCATGCCCCTGAGGGAGCAACTGACCCTGCAGGGGACAGCAGAGAACCTCACCATATGGACAGGAGCTGTGTTTAACTGCCCGTACCCAAGCCAGAAAGCAGACCATGACCTATTTTATTTACAAGTAGTGACACAGAGCATTCCTGGCTTCCCATCCAAAGCCTKTCCCTGTGTCCAGCGAGGTCTGCCCCTTCACAGTGCCAAGCTCCCCACAAGCCCCCGCTCCCAGCACCTGCTGCAGCACTGGCTAACACTCAGGGAACCTGATCCTTCCCAGTGCCACCCGCTCTGCTCCTCATAACCATTGCCAAACTTCAACTATTTTAAGATGAAACTGTCCTCGGGCTATCTACCTCTAGCCTGCATTTGAAACTTAGCCAGGATTGGTGGAGGGGATGGGCCATTTGCAGGAGGAGCCTTGGGCCAGGCACTGGGGTGCTCACCCTGGGCAGAGCAGATGGTTTTATCACCTTTCTCTTGAGATGTCCTGACATCACTGCTGCAGCTTGGCATGGGGCATGGGTCTTCCTGGTTTTCACCAAATCCCAGTCAGGTTACAAGCTGTTTAAAAGCATCCCCATATGTACACAGCAGACCTGAGTTCCTGTGGGGTTTTCTGTTATTAATGGCTGATCTGGTTTCCAGGAACTGGTAACTGCCAGTTGGAGCAGGAACATTTTGAAAACCACTAACCCATGCATACCCTCTGGTGARTGATAAATTACAAGCTCTTGTGGCCACTTTTTCTACCATTTGGGCGGTGTCTTTTATCTCTTTCCTCCCTCTAGTACTTTATTTATGTGAAACTAATAGGTGGTTAATGACATGTCTGACATCCAGTTGAGTCAGCCAGTGGCTTCACAGCTCAGCACGGGATGACAGGCAGATGAACAGCCAGACACACAGACATACATGCTCACACATGTATGCACACACACACACACACACACACACACACACACACTCACACACACTCACACAGGACTGCATAAGATGTTTCTCTCACAAAGCTGGATCTACAGCAATGATGGAACTACAGTGGCTTTGGCCAGTGGTGGGCATTTTTCAAAGGCAGTGACCTGTAGTCAGGATGGAGAGATGTCACTCAGGGGAAATGGGGCTCGCTTTTCCTTTTGGCATTTAAAAACCCCAACAAYTTGTAAATCGTTTTTCAAAGGCTGTTCAGGTGACATGCCCATGCCACTGGACCCCTGTTCAGGCCACCCCAAGCCCTGCACGGGTCCCCGCTGGAATAGTGCTTTTGCCCTGACCAGAGATTGTGTGAACTCTTATTGCAAGTCCGTGCTGGGGTCCTGGCCCTGCCGTTGTCCAGCTGACATGTGTGTTTGTGCCTGTTTTGAAAGCTGTAGCAATACAGCTTTGTTTTGACACCAGCAGTTACAATAATTTTAGTGCTCTCTGTGGGGCACATCTGTACTCAGGTCTGGAGCTCCACCTGTGACCCCAGAGGTATCCAGAACTATCCATGCTCTCTCCTGAGTGCCAAATCCTGCAGTTTGTTATACAGAGAAAGTGACTTGGTCCTCAGCAGCTGCTTGTCTGCCTACCTGTTCTGCRTTTGTGGCTGTGCACTAAGCCCTGCAGACTTCCAGACTGGAGAAATTAAATAGCTGGCAAGAGCAAGCAAGACAGTGAAGGATGGAAAGTGCTTTCAAGGAGTTCTTTATTGCTTTGGTCTCACAAGCACCATGCGGGAAAACATCAGCCAATTTCACATGCACTCTCTGGAGAGCTGCTGTGGTTTAAATCCAGCCAGTAACTCAGCCTGACTCACTCACTCACTCACTCACTCACTCACTCACTCACTCACTCACTCACTCACTCCCCCTTCATGGATAAGGGAGCAATTCAGAAGGGTAAAAATGAGGAAACTCATGGATTGAGATAACTACGTGTAAAGCAAAAGCCCCATGTGCAAGCAAAGCAAAGCAAGGGATTCATTCACCACTCCCCAGGGGCAGGCAGGAGTTCAGCCACCCCCAGAAAAACAGGGCTCCATCACATTTAATGATGGCTTGGGAAGACAAATAGCGCTGCTCTGAACATGTCACCCTCTTCCTTCCTTCATCCCCTGGCTTTATATGCTGAGCATGATGACATGTGGTGTGGGATATCACTGTGGTCAATTGGGGCCAGCTCCAGTATCATCTGCCAGAGCAATGACAAGTGTCTAAAGGTGTCTGTAGTGGGCTCAACCAGGAGCTGATCTCAACAAGGCCTGTTGGGAAACAAGTCCAAACRCTTTGGGAATTTCTCTCTGTCAACCTCTACTTGCTGACTCTAGTAGTGATCACTGATGAGATCTGAAATGTGGATCAAGGAACAGCTTAAGCRAGTATTGCAACAACAAAAATAGAGAATTCACACATGAACATTATTTTCCACAAGAATGAATCAAAGCTCTTACTCTGCCAGCACCATGCAACAGCACAAGTTACTTTCAGCAGTGGGGTTGGAGGTGGTCGTACTCCACAGYGGACTTTGCTTCAACACAGAAATGCACAAAGGATTCAGTTCTAGTCTGAGCCGAGATGACCTACAGAGCCAGGACTCTGTGCCTGGTGTTTTGCTGTGGCTGACTTCATTCATGGGGACCTGCACAGGGAAGTTGTGCAAGCCTGGTAATGTGCACATTTAGAAGGCAGCGGTGCAAAACCACACTTAAGTCACAGCTGAACACACTTGATGAGGGAGACATTGATAGATTTCACTATATTTAGATCAGCCTAGACCTTCTGAAAAAGCAAAAACAGCAAAAAGGAAGGAGGACAAAGAAGGCATTTTCTTCCATAAGGCTGTTAAAGAATAATGAAATGAAACAGGCAAAGAAAATATTAACACTTACTTTGCACTCTGGCTGAATTCATGTGTGTCCACAAATCTCCTAAATTTGGCAAAGTAATGGAAGACTTAACAGGATGCATGTAGTTCCAGCCTGGCCTGTCTCTGTTGGAAKAACTTCTTGAAATAATGTCTCAAGGTCTGACTCGAGGACATTCTGGGGAGGTAAAAGTTATATCCTTATTGCTTTCTAGGTAAAAAGGGAGTGATTTAAGGCCTGGATTGAAACAGGATCTTTTATAGAGAAACAGAAATGTCAACCCCAATTTTGAAGTTCAYCCCCAAAGGAGATCTGGAAACAAATTTCTGAAAGAAGCAAAGCAGTGTTTTATGGGCATCTTCCACCTTCAAGAATGCTGAATACTTCTCGTATCTTTAATCAAAAGTAAACTGAGAGAGTAAGGAAAGGAGGTTTGCTCAGCCAAGCAAGCAGAGGCCAGGGATACAGCACTTCCAGCATCACTCTGCACTGGGGCTACAGGGGCRTGTGCTCAGAGCAGGACAGACCTGCAGGGTCTCTCCTTCCATTCCTGCCACCCAGATCCCAACCTCCAGAAGTGGAGTCTGCCTCCAAAATCCCTACAAGAAAGCCCCACAAACAAAACTACATTTCTCTCAAGTTGCCAAGGGYTCCTAGGCATCGAGGAAGGAGTGCTTTCTGCTAGATCCTCAGCTGACTGCAGCTTCACTTAGCAAAATCATGATCTAGAACTGCAAACAGCAATTCTCAGACAGATCATGGGCCCTTCAGCTTCAGAAGCAATACAAGATATAAGTGTTAATTTGTGGTTAAGGCATATTTATTGGGAACAGCACTGAACGGTGGCTTGGCCTTTCCTGTAGCACAGCACTGAACTGCCAAAATAAAGAAGCATTAAAAGTTAATAAAAAGGTCTGAAACATGTTCATTAAAATACTTGGAAAACTTTGCAGTTTGGCTTCATACCATAGAACGAGTATGTGAGAACTTGACTGGGCTTGCCTGCCTCTTTTGCAGACTTTCTTGACTTAATACTTATAAAAATATCACCTGGCGCCTGATGCCGTGTTAAAAAGCCCCTACCATGTCAGGTACTGTTGTAATTTGCCCTGGAAATGCATCTGAAGCAAAGGAATGTGTGAGCACAACTTCAGAGCTCAAACAGAGAAAACACTGGTTGTTACATAAATCAGTGCATACAGATGGCATTTTGCTTATTTTAACCATAAGCCCAAAGTTCCAGGGGCTGGTAACTTTGCCACCCCACTCTGGTTCATATTCTGCCTCTGATATGGATGGATATTGCAGGTATTGCTCCCAGAGCAGGCTGTGTAGATACCACATTTTCAGGTGTCCTGGCCATATCTGGAACCATTTCAAGGAAAATCTAGCCCTGTATTTGACCTCATTGTTCTATTTGCTCACCACACTAATTAGGTCGGGCAGAGGGAAGGCCAACAAGACAGGTAGGATGGACTATTTGCATAGCTGCGAGCGGCTTCTATCTGATTGAATGGAGTGGATTGAACTATGGGTGGATTGTGGGTCAAGAGGTTGTTTGAGTTTCACATTCATGGATGCCCTCTCCACAGCCAACGCTTTCGGCAGCCATCCTGCAGCACTCTGCGCTGCTGCTCGGTCGTGAACTGAGGGCTGGATGCCAAACTGCCGGGCATCAGGACTGCTGTGGCTCTGGACCCATGTGGCACCCTGGGGACAAACCCTACAGTGCTGCAGTGAAAGTGCCCACTGTCCATCTCAGCCTAKGGCTTGCCTGAAAGCCTGAGTCTTGGCTATAATTTGTCAAAAGTAGAAGCTATCTTTGATTTAGTATTTAGTTTTAGTAAAAATTAAACAATATATGAAGCACCAGCTTGGGATTCTTTGCCTAGTCCTTGTTCATCCTACCCCAGGCTTTCTCTGGGATGTCAAGACTTTGGCTAATATTCCAAGATCACATTTGGAACTGCCCTGCTTTATAAMATTTATTCTGCTTCCTTCAAAGTGCAGTGACTACCTTGGGACCAAGACACAGTACTGAATTCTTCCAACTATCATAGCATTTATGAGTCCAAGGTATTGGGAGTTGGTGGCCTTTGGCCTTTTCCCTAGATGAACTCTCAGAGTTTTCAGGTATAATAAAAGCAGCCTTATGGGTTTGGGTTTTTTTGTTTGGGTTTTTTGGGGGTTTTTTTGGGTTTTTTTTTTTTTTTTTTTTTTTTTTTTTTTTTTTTTTTTTTTTTTTTTTAAGGTAGGGTTTATTTTACCAGTTAGCACTGGTTTATTTTACTAGTTAGCACTTTTCTTTTTGCCTAGGTGAAAGTGTATGGTTACACAGTGCTTCTTCAGCAGTGCACTGCTGTTGCAGACATGTTTCCTTTTGGAGCCTGCTGTAGATTCTGCACGTCCCCCATCCTGCAAAATCCCAAGGCAGGGCTATGTGGAGACATGAAACAAGTTCAGAACAGATAGGCTGTGGAGGTCACTGAGATCCATGTAGCTCCATGCATAAAATAGGCAGGAGAAAAGCATTTTCAGCCTCCCTACCCATATTCTCTGTCCAAAATGACTTCTGCTTGAAGAGCATCACAGAGCTGAACACCAGCACCTTGCTTAGTTTGAGTGACTGAACCCAAAATCTCAGTGAAGTAATCACACATTAGCATCCCTGCATGGCAACCACAGCTCTYGGGACAGTCTGACCTGTAAACATCACCATAGCCCTCTGCAACCTGGAGAACAGAGTGTTAGGTGTCACCTGTTCACAAGGATCTCAACTCCTGGCAAAACCAAGAGCAGCACACAGCTTCTCCAGATTCATTCACCTGTCTTTTCCTTCAYAGGAAGCTCACTGAAAGACTTCCTGGTAGGAAAAGATCACTGTTGAAAAGATAGAAAGGAGCCCACACAGTGGAAGGTATGTATACATATTCCTTCTACAASTTCTCTATTATCAGTAAAGAACAAAGAAGAGCAGATGTATATCTGATGTGTTTACATGAAAGCTGCAGTGTTTACTGATGCTTTTAAGGTCATATTTTACTTCAGTCAAGCATTGCAAAAAAAAGTAGAGAGTATCTTGCAGTTAGTTAGCTAAACATCTTCTCCTGTCTTTCTATTGGGTAAGACAGATACAATAACTTTATCTGGGAGACAGTCCAAGGAACTGGCAAGAGGGCCTAAAATCCACTAACTCGAGGTCATTCAGGCACTCAAGGAGTCCAGGCTGATTGAGGAATGGCCATAGATGATCACATTTGACACTAATTTAGTGGCTTGTGTAAAACATGAGTGAATCTGCTCACAGATGCTGTGGGAGGAGCATCATTTCACACTGACAAGCCACAGAGGCTTCTGTGAGGAGGCGCAGACTCCTCTGGGCACAGAAGGATCATTTTCCACCTAATCCCTAGGAGTTCTAATCAAAGCATGTACATGCACAGGAGTGTGGACAAATTTGTCTCCTAAGCCCATTTTGACTGAGGTATAAATTCAAGAAACTGCAGTCTGGAAACACAGCCAGGACACACCCTGGGTACTCCTGCCACCTGACCAAGTCCTGGCAGTGGACATTACCTCTTGGCATCCTAGCAGCTTTCTGGGACCTATGTGGGCACCATCATTATGGTATCCCARTATGTCCCAGTGACCAGCGGGACAAGGAATTTTACAAATGAGATACAGCTGAACTGAATTGCCTGTTTTCTTGACAATCTGTCGTTCAGACAAAAAATCATGGGTCTCTTGAATGGAAATCTAATCTTTATGCACCAAAACATGCTTCCTCACAAACATACTCTCAGGCTTAGTATTTAAAGCTTCTCACCTGCTTTCTGGAGTGTCAAGAGATCACATGGATGGCCAAGTTGTTCCCAGTCACCTCTGAGGTCCACGGCCCTGGTCAGTGCAAGAGGCARGGTACTAATTAAATGGTTGTATTCTGATCCAATAGCTGTCCAGTTACGGTGCTACTTGAGGACTGCATGGAAAAATCAGGAGGAAAAGCAGACAGTTCCCTTCAGAATGGAAAGTCTGAAGCCATTTTGCACCATTGCATCCCTGTTACCATTCTAGACTGCCCACCATATTTAAAAACTGATGTAGTGTGAGCTAGAGCAAAGCCTAGTGGGAGGTACTAACACAAAAATAGAAACCTCCTACACTAAATGAAATGAATGCTGTGCATGTGCTAAGACCTGTGTGAGAGAGACTGCTTGTAAATATTCTTTGCAGTCTGCGTAGGAGTTGTGTGGAGGCAGCCCAAAGACCTCCAAAAGCAGAAAAATGAGATATATGGGCATTTACTTGGCTGAGCATCTGGGGAGAAGGGTTTTAATATGTGCTAGAAGAAAGTGGAGATTGAAGTTATCAAGCTGTGTCATGATGGACTTAAACAATAAAGGCCTGAGCTGCTTTGTAGAGCTCCCATCTCATGAGGAGGGTTTCAGAAAGGTGAGAAATAGTCTCTCACTGCATCTTTTCTCTCTTTGCTTGGCAGATTGCTGTGTTTCTTAGCTAAAATCTCATAGAAAGATGTCACAAATTCACTGTGTGTAGCAAACTTCCACTGCCTGGAAATGCCCTTTCCTACAGAAAGACTCTATATTGGAAAAATAATTTAGCTATGTGAACAATATTCTCGASCTGTGGGCTGCTCTCAGGAGCGGGGGCCCGGGCGATCTGCGCTGCACACACCTCGATGCACRAGCGTGATGCGGCGCTGGTCACATTTTCTCTTTAGAGGCCACTCCGCGCTTCCTCCTACACAGCTCTGCTCCCTACAGCACTGCCAGCCGCTGCCTCTTCARCATCAAATTCTTGTGTGCAGCCTCAGTTTCATTCACTTTTCTACTCACCTGGAGCTTACACTTCCAGCCAGAAAGCTGAAGAAAGAAAGAAAAGGAGCAGGAAAAATGTTATTGACTTTCATTTTTCCAAAATTAGGTAAATGTGAGCAATTTTTTTATGGAAAGGTAGTTTCTTCCCTTTCTTCTTTTTCCTTCCCACCAATAACAGACCCTGTGGTTTCTGATACCTTCCCAGAGCCTGAAAAGATGTGCTTTTCTCTATCTTTTTTTAAAGATGAAAATCACCATTCGAGACTTCAATTAAACCATTTTCTTTTTAAAAACCATACAAAAGCYAACATCTAGGGTAAAACATTTCAAATTAAAAGCTGCATATTTCACAAGTGATGGCTAATCATAAATAGAAATATTAAGGAATGATTTTAGACATCTCTATATCTTTCTCATAAAACTATAGACCAATWGAAGACCCATCCATATTAGAAGAATGATTTAATATACATAAGCTCTGTAAAACTATTACATKAGTTTGTTTTGTTAATTGTAGAAGCTTTATAGCTCCATCAGATCTGAAAGTTCCTGAACATTAAATCTGAGCTTATCTCATGGAGACAAGTGTCTGGTGACATTTCATCTTTGTTTCAGCACAGCATAGAGGAGGCTGGGTGCTCACAGAAGTGKGCCTGGCAGCTGGACCAGAGCAATGGGAATATTCCTATTTATGTGGAAGGAATTGTTAAAACTGATGTTAGCTCTGGGAAAAAAAAATCTCTACTTTGTGCATGCTACAAATTGTCCTTTCACAGCTTTACTTTACAATTAAATTGCCAAGTATGGATGCAGCCTAAGAAGGCTYCTTATATAAAACAGTGGAGCATTTTTTAGTTGGTGGTGTAATCACGTGCCACAGGAATCTTGAATTTGACAAGTTCACTTGAAAGCAAGGTCTTACTAATACCTGCAAGGACACAATCATGCAGGATTTCCCCTACCACAACAGCTCCTCCTACCCTGGTCTTGGGACACTGATTTCCATCACTCTTCTGATGTGGTGGATCATGGGCTGTCCTGGCATCACAAAGGACATTGCAAAGGAAGCACAGGATTGTCCTTCTGGGCATCATTGTACTAATGCCCATAATTTAACTTCAACAATATCTTGCCTGTGGTCTCTCCARAAGGGGAAGCCTGATTATCTTTGAAATTTCAATGTCTTATAATGTAGACATGTAAAATTAGTGCATCTCCATTTGAACCTAGACACCTAGGTGTTCCAGGCCAGGCTGGATGGGGCTTGGAACAACATGATCTAGTGAAAGATGACCCTGCCTATGGCATGGGAGTTTGAATAGATGATCTTKAGAGGCTCCTTCCAACCAAACCATTCTGTGATTCTATGATCCTACGATTCCATGATACCTTCTCCACTCCTGCACTCATTTCAGATACATATACCTCTAAATACATGTGCATGCACATGTGTATAAACAAAGACATGGGTATTCACTAGCCAAAATGAGACCTCAGAAGCACCAGTATGAGCATGTGGAAGTATTAGTATGAAAAAACATACGGCACWCGGTGTTTTTTTTCTTATTTCTTCAAGGCAGTGTTACTGCTGGTCTGGCATCCCTGGACCTACTGGGCCATTCTCAGCCTTGCACACAAACACACACATACAGGTATATGTACCCAGSAAACAGCACTGGCTGAAGACTGCATTGAATTTATAAATCAGTCAGGAATTGCATCATTTCCTCCTTGCTCTTGTGATACTCCCTGGAATTTGGGTGTTTCAGTAAGGAAGGAATATTTCTCTAGTTTATTCAAGGACTGCTGTAAGCTTTGATTGATTGTTTGAAATTTCACCCGATTGGAAATAAACCCAACTCACAAAGAACTGGAA